ATTAATTTAAAATTGGGGGTTTGGCAAATCGTTTCTCTAGAAATCCCGGCGGGTGGCCCTGCTGGAGGTCTGTCCCCAGGCTGGTGGGAGAACGTGCCTGCAGAGGCAGGGACGCCAGAAGTCGCGGAGTCTCTCGAGGAAGCAGGGGAAGGTGGGGACCCTTCACCTGTGCTGTTTCAAACGGTGCCATGAAGGTTCCGCCCCCACGACGGTGGGGTGCTTGTGTGGGCGGAAGTACACACACAGTGAAGGAATGTGACTCAAGTCCACAAAGAAGCCCACACACGTACAGTCAGTGGGCTTCCTTTCTGAATCTATACTTTTAATGGTTCAACTACAGTGAACATACAATATTGTGTTAGTGTCGGAGGGACAGCTGAGCGTTTACACACGTGTGTGTACCTTATGAAAGCATCCCCCTCTGGTCCCCGCCGGGCCCCATACACGGTTAGTCGAATATTATTGTGGGTGTCTGCTGTGCTGGATTTCACAGGCCTGTGACTGTTTCCTAACCGCCAGGCTGTACTTGGGAACCCCATCACCCTCTGCAGTCACCTCCCAAGCGCCCCCCCTCCCCGGCAGCCATCCCCATGACCGCAAACAGTTGCATCGACAAGTAGTCTGAGCCCGCGATGAAGACGCAGGAAAGCGTCCTGGGTGCAGCAGAGAGGGTGGACCCCGAGGGTGTCTGCGTGGGGCGGTGCGTCGGGCAGAGAAAGACCAGCGCCGCGCGATTTCCCGCGTGTGCGGAACCTAGAGAACACGCTACACGCACCCACGACAACCGGCTCGCGGACACACAAGAACATTGGTTTCCGCCGAGTATGGAAATAGTTCAGGGAGGAAGGGAGGGTTTTCCCTTACTGAGGCTGGGTCAGCGGGACCTACATACTCTTCTTGCGCGTTCTATTTCTGCCAAAAGACTCTTGTCTCTGAAAAATATAGGGAACTTTGATCGCTCAGTAATAAGACTCAAAGAACACGATTTTTTAAAAAGATTTTATTGATTTATTTTTAGAGAGGGAAGGGAGGGAGAAAGAGAGAGAGAGAGAGAGAAACATCCATGTGTGGTTGCTGGGGGCCGTGGCCCACAACCCAGGCATGTGCCCTGACTGGGAATCGAACCTGCGACGCTTTGCTTCGCAGCCCGCGCTCCATCCACTGAGCTACACCAGCCAGGAAGAACACGATTTTTAAAGTGGGCAAAATGGGCCTGGCTAGGTGGCTCCGTGGATTGGAGCGTTGTCCCAGGCAACAAAGGTTTGTGGGTGCGATCCCCAATCAGGGCGCATACAGGATGCAACAGATGGATGTTTCTCACACCTACCTCTCTCTCCCCCCACCCCCCATTCTTTCTCTCTAAAACCAATAAGCTTCTCCTCAGGGGAAGATTTACAACACGGGCCAAACGTTCGACTAGACAAAGGAGATGATCACACGAGAAAATGCTCCATATCATTATTCATTAGCCAAGTGCAAATTAAAACCACGGGGAGAGGCCGTTTCCCTCGCGTTAGGATGAGTACCATCGAGAAGATAATAACAGGCCTTGGCCGGGAGGTGGGGAGATTGGAACTCTGGCGCAAGGCTGGTGGGAAAAGCCGGGCGACGGGGAGTGTTTGGAGAACAGTCTGGCAGTTTCTTAACATGTGAAACAGAAATTAGCCGTGCACAGTAGCCGTGGCACGCCCCGATTTCTGTCCGAGGGAAATGGAAATAGATATCCGTGGAAAAGAATGGTATACAAATGTTTATCATGGGATTGTTTATACTAGCCACCCCTTGGAAACGACAAAAAAAGAAAGTGGCCGCCCTGGCTGGCGTAGCTCAGTGGATGGAGCACAGGCTGCGAACCAAAGCGTCGCAGGTTCGATTCCCAGTCAGGGCACATGCCTGGGTTGCAGGCCACAGCCCCCAGCAACCACACATGGATGTTTCTCTCTCTCTCTCTCTCTCTCTCTCTCCCCCTCCCTTCCCTCTCTAAAAATAAATAAATAAAAATCTAAAAAGAAAGAAAGAAAGAAAGAAAGAAAGAAAGGCCTGTCATGGCAGAGGCCATGGCTTTAAAAAAAAAAGAAAAGAAAAAAAAAAAGAAAGTGGCTATCGGCAGACGAACGGATAAGCACAATGCGGTGAAGCCACTCAGTAGCGTGAGGCTCGCTCACACACACGGAGATGAAGTCCCGGTACACGCTCCAGCACGGGCGGGCTTTGGAGACATCCCGCCCCTGAAAGAAGGCAGGCACTGGCCACCACACATTGTGTGGGTGTATTTATAGGGAAGGGCTCAGCCGCGGCAAATCTAGGAAGGGACAGAAAGTATGTCAGCCAGACCCTCGGTCGTGGGCCTGGGTGAGTTGATTTTATGATCCTGTAAATTAGACCTCTGTAGAGGTATTTGAAAAAAAAATTTTAAGGTATTGATTTGAGAGAGAGGGAAACACCCGTCTGTTGTTCTGTTTACTGATGCATCCTTGGGTGGGTACTTGTCTGTGCCCTGGCCGGGGTTCGAACCTGCACCCTTGGCGCATTGGGCCGATGCTCTCACCCACACCGGGCTACCCAGCCAGGGCTGTGCACTTCTTATCAATGACCGACCTTGGGATTTGGTAGAGATTAGCCTGGACGGATCAGCAGTGATGTCACGAGCATTGCACAGACATCGCCCATCTGGAGAACATCTCGGCCCCCTTGCCGGGGAGCGCGCCCTGAGCACCGCCTCCCATCCCGCCCCCACACATATTTCCCGTTACTCACGTGTTGGGCGCGGGTGGCGAGCAGGGTCATGGGAACGACCGTGACATTTGATTGACCTTGGGCCAGGCAGAACGGCCTTTGTGTGGTGGGAGCCAGGCCTCTGGGCTTCCGGCCTCGGCGTGGAAGGGCACGGAACTGTTTACGAACGGATGACACAGGGCGGCCGGGATGTCAGGACTGCGTCCTGGGGGGACTCCAAGGCCCGGGTCCGAGGGCTCTTCCGGTATACCAGTTGTCCCGACGGCTCCTTCTGCAGGAGACGGACGGGGTCCCTGTTCAAGTCCGCACGTTTTTCTGGGTGAGCCCTGGCTTATTCGGGAAACACCTTCTTCTTCTTGTCTCCTCGCCCATGTCTTCCGACTCCATCGTTGGTTTCTCTGCTGTGTCTTGTGTTTGAGTGAAGGAGGTGACCTTATTTCTAGAGAAACTTGGAAAGCGTCTTCTCTGAATGCATTGCACTTTTTTTTTTGTTTTTGAGAAATGAGGACTTCTTTCCAACAGAGACGGTTTAGTTGTGTTATCCGTGCAGCCTGTTTCTCTGAGAAAGTCATCTTCTTAGGGTTTTTTGTTCTGTTTTTTTTTGTTTTTGTTTTTTTTTGTTTTTTACACAATGCGGTCATGAATTTGGTCTACAAGATGCCTTTGAAATAGATCTCATCCTAATAAGCCCTGAGCCAAAGAACCCCAAAGACAGTCGAGCTAATTGGAGGGAGACCCGTGTTTGAGTTGGTTTTTCGGTGTTCGAGGCAGTAGAATTCCCGGGCGTGACTCGGTGTCCGCAGCAAGGGAAGGAGGTCACCAGACGAACACAGCAGTGCCCAGCGCCAGCCTTCAGTAATCTCATGGCGGTGGCCTGAGGTTGTCTGCAGGCAGCATGTGGAACCCTCCAGACACCACGAAAAGTGCAAAGAAGCAGGATTCCTACCTCCCCACGACCCACCTGCCCAGCCCTTACTGCACCCTCGCAAGCAGCGACTTGAAATCTTGGTTGCAAACCCTGTGTGTCAGGTCCTTTGACGTCGGGAGAGCTGAGCCATGCTTTCCAACTCCAGGGTTGCGAGGGACCTTCCCTACTTCCTGCCCGCCCACCAACCCACATGTCCCAGCAGCCGGTTGGAAGGCCACGGTCGCTGTGATGGGTGCAGACAGTTCACGGGAGGGGAACTTGGGTATCGCGATAGGCATGCCCGGCTACGTCTGCCTATAAAGAGAGAGCAGAAGCCATGAACGCACCGATTCGAGGGGTAGTCAACGCCTGGCCTCTGGTGTCTGGAAAACATAAAACCCAAAATGACGCGTCACCGTGTGCAGAGTGAGTTGGGGGGGTCCCGGTTGTGGTTCAGGCCCCCCCCCGCTTTTGTCTCCATGGACACCCCTCTGTGGCTGCTGATGGAGGGGACCCAGGTAGGTGGCTTCGCTTACTTATTTGCTTCCCACCAGTCAAAGGACGGTGAGCTTTCAGTGATCCTGAATAAGTGTTTCAGACACACAAAAAACATGACTCATAGCATTTTATCTTCAGAAACACTTATGGAAAGTCTTCATTTTTTTTTTATGTCAGAGAACAGTGTGTATTAGTTCCGTAGCCAGGATCTAAATGCACTGGGAACGTTTATGACTCTTATTGGAAAGGATGGATTTTTACGTTCTGATGCATGAAACTAATGTCCATGGTCAGATATTTGTATTAACATGATTTTATGTATATTGTTTAAATGTGGGGTTTTGTTTTTTATTTTTTTGGTACATCATGCAATTTCCTAACCAGAGTGGGTGAGACATTTCAGAAATGTATCTAGAGGATAAGATGCTACAACTAGAGATGTATTAGCTACCTCATATGCATTTCTTTTAAGAATGTGGGAAATCTCTTTTTTGACAATTTAATTTCCTTTTTATTTTTTCCTTAAACTCACATTAGCTTTTTTTTTTTTTGGCAGTAGTCTCATTTTACCCCCCAAACTGCATTGTCACAGGGTAGCTACTATTTTTTTGAAAATGACATTTTCAATTTGTTCTTCTTGACATCTTTTTTTTTTTTGTGCATCTCGCATCCCCCAATTTGATTTTTTTTTTTTTTTTTGGAAATCCAGCCGTAACAGATTTTAACTTTTTGTGTGACCTTTTTTTTTTTTTTCCCTTTGGGTGGTATGTTTCTTTCTCTCTCTCTCTCCTGAATTTTTTGCAAACCTGTTGTTTTTGAATTCTTTTTCCCTTTATTTTCCTGCTTGATATGACCCCAGGAGCCAACACAAAGAAACACACAGATGAGATTACCAGTAATGACGGAGGTGGCGACGAAGGTATTTTTTTTGGCTTTTGTTTTCCTCCCACTTCGACCCTGATGCATGGTTTGGTATCTCTCTCTTTCTTTTTTTTTTTTTTCCTTTTTCCTTTCCACCTGTTTTTCCTCCCGTGCCCCGAAGTGAGGACACTTCGGTGTGCCTCCTTCTCTTCTTCTTGTTTGCAAACCAGTCGTTTTTCATGGCGATGCGGTCTCTTGCTCACGGTGCCTGTAAGAAGACCTGTCGACATTGTTTGTAAATACGAACTGAGTAAACCAGAGGGGAATTTACAAACAAGTTCATTTTTTCTTTTCCTTTCTTTGTTCTTTTTTCTTTTTTTTTTTTTGTGTGTGTGTTGGTCACAAGAAGAGAAGATGAACTTTGGAAACATGCATGTATCCTTTCTTTTCTTCCTGGCCAATGTGATTTTGTGCATTGATGTCGTATTTTGGACCTTTGGTCGTCATTCCGCCTGTGGTCTGCAGAGCTCCACGGGGCGCCTCCGCCGCACTTTTTGCGTGGCTGGCGTGGCCGGTTTTTTTGTTTGTTTTTGCAAACGTACTGATCCCAAACCAGGTTTCCAAGAAGCTTCTCTGGTTCACAGTGAAATACATGAAAAAGTGGATCATGAACAAGGCGCTGTCGATTCTTCCAGGACAGCCTTTAGCGTCATGGAAAGAAAAAAAAGTAGACATACTCGAGAAGTAAAAAAAATATATATATAGTTTTATGTATTTTACTTTTATCCCATGGCTGTTTCCTAAACATCTTTGTCGCAAAAAAAAAAAAGTTTCTCCTATGTTCCCAGTGGCAAGTTCCTTGAAGGATCCCTAAACGCTTGACAGATTTCTCACCAGACCTAAATTGATTTTGTTAAAACACAATGAAAGAGAACCTCTCCGTGGCCCACCAGCACCCTGAATCAATGGTAGAAAAGAAACGAAACGTGAGGTCTCACACGAGTCTCCGTGAAGGCTTTGTAGCCCGGGAGCTGAGGACCAGCACGCGTTATCAGCCCGCCCTCATTTCGCTCCAACGCAGGAAGGTCCGGCGGAGACCCGTGCCCCTCTGGCTGAAAGGCGATTTAAATTATTACTGTTTCACCTGAGCTGTGCTTGTCTGCAGTATGTGAAGAGAAGGGATGAGGAATCTCTTGTGTGGGCCGTGCAATGTCACACTCTGCAGCTGATTCCACATCCAGCCTGCCCTCCGGTGCCGGTCCCAGAATGCCTGCACTTTTGTTTATAGGCACTCAAAAAAAAAAACAAAAAACCACAGACTCTGGCACAAAGGATGCTCCTTTTTATTACAAAACCTGTTATCACAAAACGATAAGCATGTCATCCTGTCACAGAACAATGTCACACTCCAGCGCACCCTGTGACATTTTCGGTGAACGGTTGAAATGAAAACTGTAAATGATTACCTCTATATTACTACCCTACCAACCACACGCGGGCAGGCGTTGCTTCTGCCAGACCCTGTACATTAAAAAATAAAAACAAAAACAAACCAAACAAAACAAAAAAAAGTCCTCCGTCTGGCTGTCTTGCCGAGTCTAGGGGTTTCATTTGCGCCTGCCTCCGTTCTCTGTTCTTAGTGTATTTCCGTGCATCGCTGGAGTCTGTTGTCATGGCTCTCGTAAGACAAGTTCGTTAGGCTTGGAATTAATACGGCACCTGGCCCTCGACGCCCTCAAGGTCAAGAGAACCTTGTTCTCTGCGTCTTGGGAGGGAAGAGATGTTAACCTGACATTCTCTCTGAGGGGAGCCCTGAAAGCAGGTTGTGACAACCTCCCCTACTCCCTTTTCTGCAGGAAAGTAGCCAGCAGCCCGTGAAGAGTTACTAAAGAAAGGCAAACCGGCCTGGCTGGCGTAGCTCAGTGGATGGAGCGCGGGCTGCAAACCAAAGCGTCGCAGGTTCGATTCCCAGTCAGGGCACATGCCCGGGTTGCAGGCCATAACTCCCAGCAACCGCACATTGGTGTTTCTCTCTCTCTATCTCCCTCCCTTCCCTCTCTAGAAATAAATAAATAAAATCTTAAAAAAAAAAAAAAAGGCAAACCAGGGGCCAGAGAGAGCCAGGACCGTCCCCAACTCCACACACGATAGTGACCGAGCTTTATGTAAAAAGTCCGTGTCGTGTAGGTCGCAGAAATCCTTAACAAAAGCTTTTTCCTTTCTACTTGAATTTTATATGAGAAAAGAAGACATGGTCCTTGGCGCTGTGCATTCAGTAACCGAGGGCAGCCTGACACTGGTTTGTGTACTTGACTGTGACCCGTGGGTTTCTGGAACCTTCTCGACTCTTTATGATATCCAGTGGCCCCTGATGAGCTCATGTGGAGATGACCCTTAAAATTCACGGGATCCAAAGGAGGGTGGCTCACTTCCTTGAAATTCTTTTCTGATCTTGGGAAAGGGTGTCAATGAATTAAGACAAAAAAAAAAGAAGGGACAATAAATGTACTCGGGTACATTTGATTTTCTTTTGATACCAGATATTTCAGGGATTTATACAGACACACATAAACCTAGTTATGTGCATACGTATCCAGAAATCACGATGATTGTGGTCAGACTTGTCAAACGTGAAAATACGGCCACAGGATGACGTCCTACTAAACGTTCAAGTTTCCATCCTCAGTTCTCCCCGAAGCAGGCTCCGTCCCCACAGACCATTGCAAGAGTCCAGTCCGCTAACAAAGTCATGGCCACAGTGGCGGCCAGTCCCAGCGGGAGTCCACATTCCCTGGGAACATTCACAGGATAGCTTCCCAATAACTTTACCTCGAGGTTGCAGTCTTGGGCTATTTTTATTCCCTCTCTTTTCCTTTTATCACGTAAATGCGTGGGCATCTTACAGCCAGTCACCAAGAGCAAAAACATTTGCGGGGACCTCTTTTCTTGATTGTATGGGTTTTTTTTGTTTGTTTGTTTTTACACAGTGCTGTGCTGTGGATCATTTTTTTTTAGCCATTTGGTTACTTTTTGTCGTTTGGCTGTGGTGACAGTTTGTAGAGTCACAACTGTCCTACGGAGCTCACGGTTGACCAAAGAAGGCAGGTAACGCTAAAAGTACGTGACAACTTCCACGCCGATTTCACCCTCAGGCGATGGAACTATTGTTTCCTGATGAATGCCTTGAGCTTCTGCAACTTCAGCCACCTTTTAGGATGTGAGCACTATTTAGAGAATAGGCCATATTTCAGCTAAATCCTTCCTTTTTTGAGTGTCTCAGACATCCGCAGAAGCACACGCATACCGGATGTCAGTATGCTCCTCCGACTGTCATTTCCGCGAGTCGGAAATGCAGTAGCGTGGACCGTTTTGCCCGGGCAGCCGCATCACGGCATCTGCGGCTCACCTACAGACAGGGGTTCGAGCCCAGCCCAAGGCAGGGCGAGTCAGCAGTGCCCCGAGCCGCTGCGGGCGGAGCCTCCGTCCATCGCTGCGGTTCTTGACTGTGTTTCCCCCCTTCCCGTCCCCCCCCCCGCCCCCCTGCAGACATCCACGACCAGAGCAGCAAGAAGCCCGTGATGGTGTACATCCATGGCGGCTCCTACATGGAGGGCACCGGCAACATCATCGACGGCAGCATCCTGGCCAGCTACGGCAACGTGATCGTCATCACCGTGAACTACCGGCTGGGCATCCTGGGTGAGTCCCCCGGCGGGAGTTCCGCGCTCTCTCTCTCTCTCTCTCTGTCTCTCTCTGTCTCTCTCTCTCTCTCTCTCTCTGTCTCTCTCTGTCTCTCTGTTCTCGCTGGGACGGTCGGTCGGTCGGCCGCTGCGGTGCCACCGCTGTCGCCGGGAGGTTCATGCTTTCCGGGGAAGCCGTGAGATTGCATGTTTCTGCTCCTTTTAGCGCGTTCCCAGGGCACAGGGTGTGGCGGGCCACGCTGCGTGGCCCTACACTGGGTCACGGGGGATGACGCCGTGACAGCGGTTAACGGTGGCCGCGTGCCGTAGCTTTTTCCGCGGGTCGTGTAGGTGTGTTGCTGCTTGTGCGCTGGGGAGAAAAACCTTCGCCCTAGTCTTTTTTTATTGTTTTATCGGATTGTCTGGGTTTGGGCCTCCTAGCCTGGCCAGGGGATTCCAGGAGCTCTCTTTCTGCCCATCCCGTGCGTTAACGCTTGTTTGTATGTTATGCCATTTTTGTGCTCAGCAGTGAGAGCACGTGGGCTAACTGTGTGGCTGTTCAAGAAACACGGTGGTTGTGTTGCTGTTTCGTCCGTTTTCCTCCAGCTGGGTCTTGCAGAGTGTGTTTTGGGAGGCGTGAGCTAAGGTCTACCTGGGTTGCGCATCTCGTGCCCGAAAGACCCCTCCACCTGAGGAGCTACATGCGTTTTCCAGGCGGCCCCGCGGCGTGGTTTACGAGTGTGAGGCGCCTGTGTCGCGGCGTGGTCACGGGAGCACGTCAGAAAACGGACGCACAGGGTTTGCGAGGGCCGCTGTGTCCCGCGGAAATGTGGCTGAACCCCTTCCCTCCACACAGACAGACGTGACCAAGAACATTTTGTTCCCCACTCGATGTTTTCATCTTTATGTTGAGGTTTGTTTGTTTTTTTTTCTTCCATTCACCTCTGAAAACAGTCACTTATGAAAGGCCGCAGAAGAGGGTGAGTTGTAGAAACGCATTTGTAACGTAGAAATACATGCAAACCACCCCCACCTCCCCGGATGCTTGCAAAAGCGGCGCCGTTTGGAGCAGCCGTAAAACACTCGAAATTCCCTCCTGGTTTTTTAAGAGAAACAAAGTCTCCGGTTCAAGAGCCCTCTCCTTGCCTGGTGCTGTTTTATTTTCTTCTTTTCTCATGGGCTGCATGAGCCAGCTCTTTGTGGAGTAATTTTACTTCATTTCACGGAGTGATGACAGTCAGCCATTCTGAGCTTCTCTCTCTCTCTCTCCCAGAGACTTCTGGCTGCTGCCTCTGGCCACTCCTGTTGAAAACAGGAAATCGTGTTTTCTGATCTTTTACAAAAGGTCCATTCTCAGAGAGAGGGGGGAGGGGGCGGCAGGGAACAGCCTGCCAGGCCCCCTCCTGTGCCTGTCAAAGGGGGGAGTCTGTCCCCCCCCCGCAGAGTCAGCACGGGCCTCAGAGCTGTTCTCTGAGGGAAAGAAATGGGCACTGCGCAACGTCTTGCTTCGGAGAAACCGCACCCTAGTTCTCTTGCGTGCATGACCGGGGGGTGGGGGGGATGTGTCTTTGAAAGGCTAGGTTTCAGAAAGAAATTGATTTTCCCCCTCTAATGCCAGACGGCACTACACAGCTCTACAAGGGAATCCCGTCTGCATGTGGCTCATCGGAGAATTCTAGTGCTTATCTTGGAAAGGGATGTAGGAGTTCTGGAGTTCTTAGTTGTTTGTTGAGAGAGAGAGAGACAGAGAGAGAAGTAGAGGGAGAGAGAGAGAGAGAGAGAGGGAGAGATAGAGGGAGAGAGAGAGAGAGAGAGGGAGAGAGGGGAGAGAGAGAGGGAGAGAGAGAGAGAGAGAGAGAGAGAGGGAGGGAGAGGGACAGAGAGAGAGGGAGGGAGGGAGAGAGAGGGAGGGAGAGAGAGGGAGAGAGGGAGAGAGAGAGGGAGAGAGAGAGAGAGAGGGAGAGAGAGAGAGAGAGAGGGAGAGAGAGAGGGAGAGAGGGAGAGGAGGAGAGCGAGGGAGGGGGGGGAGAGAGAGGGAGAGAGAGGGAGAGAGAGAGAGAGAGGGAGAGAGAGAGAGAGAGAGAGAGAGAGAGGGAGAGAGAGAGAGAGAGAGAGAGAGGAAAGGGGGGGGAGAGAGAGGAAGAGAGGGAGGGAGATGTGGAAAGAACCTTGCCTGCAGAACTTTGCTCAGGGGAGAACACTAGGTTCACCGTTTGCTCCCGGAGCTGAAGGAAGAGCCGGGGGAGGGGAGGGCAGGCGCGGAGGGGGAGGGGAAGCCGGGGGATGAAAGGGGCCATTCAGCCTCCTCTGTTCCCCCAGCGGACACCACAGACCCCCTTTCATTTGCCGCAGTGCAGTGGGCCAGCTCTGCCGGTCCGATGCCTGTCCGATGCCGCCGTGACACTGGCTTCCCAAGCTGACTCGGTTTCCCTTTTTCTCTCCGACCTTGCCTTTGCCACGGTCCCCTTTTGCGAGCTGGTAGCCCCCACTCCCCTCTGGCTTTCGGGAAATCGCTGTGATGGGTCTCTAAATGATCCCTAGGACCGCCTGCCTCCAGAAATGTGAGTCATAATCAAGGGACATGACGCGCTGCCCACCCGTGATCATCCCCGTGATCGCTGGGGGGACAGGTCGGTGGCCCTTCAGCCGAACGTTGAAATGTGGTTGAAGGGCCTTTCTTCAGAAAACTCACGCATACAGCCCTGGCTGGTGCGGCCCAGTGGATTGAATGCTGGCCTGCGAACCAAGGAGTCGCCGGTTCGATTCCCAGTCACGGCACATGCCTGCCTTGTGGGCCAGGTCCCCAGTAGGGGGCGTGAGAGAGGCGACCACACACTGAGGTTTCTCTCCCTCTCTCTCCCCCTGCCTTCCCCTCTCTCTAAAAATAAATAAATGGATACAAATCTTTAAAAAAAAAGTCCTCATGCATCCATAGTGATGCTGCTCTCCTGTTTAAGGAAGGGGGAAACCTATGGTTAGACATGATTTTTTTTAACAGAGTAACAAGGTGTGTCGCCCTTCCCAAAAGACAGGGTGGACAGATGAATCATGGTGAAAACGGACGGTGGCTTGGAAAAAAAACATGGATTTTAACCCATGACAGAAAGGAACGCATGGCCCTGGCTGGTGTAGCTCAGTGGGTTGAGCGCGAGCTTTGAACCAAAGCGTCGCAGGTTCGATTCCCAGTCAGGGCACATGCCTGGGTTGCAGGCCACGGCCCCCAGCAACTGCACATGGATGTTTCTCTCTCTCTCTTTCTCCCTCCCTTCCCTCTCTAAAAATAAATGAATAAAATCTTTTAAAAAATTACAGAATTTAAATTAAAAAAAAAAAGAAAGGAAGTCACACCTTCTGTCGACTTTGTGTCCATCGTGTGGCCCCGAGACAGTCAGCTAATTTTTTCAAAGAGTCTGTGTCTCGAAGGGTGTGACTGTCCACCTCTTGCAAGGCCACTGAACGTGTCCTGTAAAGATGCCGTGGCTTAGTGTCACAGGTTCGATTCCCAGTCAGGGCACATGCCTGGGTTGCAGGCCACGCCTCCCAGCAACCGCACATTGATGTTTCTCTCTCTCCCCCCCCCAAAAATAAATAAAGAAAATCTTTTAAATAAATAAATAAAAAGATGCCGTGGGCTTGTGGAGGGGAAGTTCCACAGCCCTCGACTGGGAACCAGGACCCCCAGTCACCCTCTAATTTCCGCTTCCATACACCTCACTGGACGCCATATTCCTGTCACTATGGATTCAGACCAGTGACCGCCGCTGGCCACCTGCGGAACAGCTCCTGTCCATCAAACGCCACCCTCTCCAGGAAGCCCCCGTCGCCGTACAAATGAACAATGGTCTTGTGGGGTCAGTGAGATCGCGTCATTGGCTTTTGGAAACGGGAGTGTCTTCGTTCACGGGAACGGGGCTGCAGTCGTGTTAGCCGTCGGCCGTGTCCTCGGCTGGCCAGCCCAGCACGCTCTGGGAGCTGTTGTTCGTCTCGCGCTCCCGCTCTGGGCTGGTCCCAGGCAGGCTGGGCTGTGAGGGGACCGTTTGCACCCGCACGAGGTGTCCTGGTGTCACTGGTGTTCCCTTTCCTCGCAGAGCAGATGCTCTTTGGCGAGCATTGGCTCTTACTGGGTCTGCGGTGCACGTGGCCGTCGGGAAGGCATGGAAACCCGAAACTCGAGTCGTGTGGAGTCTGCCTCTGTTTTTAGTGGTTGTTTGACCACCTTGGATAGAAAAGAAATGCCCTCTCTGGTGCTTGTTGATGGAAACATCTCAACGTTATTTATTTATGCGTCTGACCAGCCCCTTCCCTCGTGACGTGTATCCCGTGTGCCTGTGGCCGGCCGGCGTGGTCAGCGGGCCGAGTCTCCCTCCATGCAAACGTACATCTTCGTGCGGCTCCTCTGGTCAATTTTTGGCTAACTCACGCTGGGCTGTGTCAGGTACATTGAACGATGTTTTTTATTTATTTATTTTTTGCTCCCAAATGGTGCCGTCTACTGGGTTGACCCAAAAAGTCTATTTACTTTCTTTTTTCCCCATAAAACAAAAGACACATTGTTCATGCTCACCAGCGACGTTATTGATTCGGCTATTTCGGGTGCGTCGGCGCTCTCCTGCGTGGTGCAGCATCGATTGTTCTCCGTGCGTGTCTCCCTGTCATCGCCGGGAGCTTCAGCCGGGCTCCTTGACCTTGGACCCATCGTCCCGTGGGAAACCTCCAGAGACAAAACTTCGCAAGCCACTCGGACGTGGTCGGCCACGGCACCTTCTCCTCACACGGCAAGCATCTCGCCGCATCTCTCTTTTGCCTCCATCACCTGCACAGCAAACAGGTTGGGGCAGGGGGCTGAGGGACAGAGTCATGTGTACCACAAGTCACGTGGAAATACCACGGGGACACGGGGGAGGGTCGGAGACCCCCCGGAAAAGAAGGGACGTGGTTTCTCGGATGCCAAAGTCATGCAGAACAGAAACACCAAGGAGCTCCTGCAAAAGACAAGTTTCATTGTCTTCTTCCTCCCTG